GATTAAGATGTCACAAGAAAATAGTTTTGGAAGAAAATTAATAACCTGTGTACATTTTATCGCCTTCAATTTTTAGCTAGTTTGTTTGTTTTTTTTTTGTATTGTTGCATCGGTTAATATATGTAAGGATCCTTAGTAACTACAAAATATCAGTTAAATATTTTTTATTTTAATACAAAAATCAGGGCTGGGATGTATTGAGAAATCTGCATTCATCACATTTAAAACGCATATTGATTTTTGTCAATAGAATCGATCAAAAGATATCGAATTTCGTGGAGTTCTTTTAATATCGTCGCTCCATTGCATTTGCGGTTTTCCTCGTGGTCTTTTGGCTTCATATGGCCGCCAATTCCCGATTTCTTTATTTCATCGGCCACGCTTAAGACGTTCGTTATGTCCAGCCCATTTCCATTTCAGTTTAGCTGCCTGTTCGACAGCATCTTTTACTTTTGTTCCATTACGAATGTGTTTATTGGTTTTATGGTCTTTGAGTGAGATACCCAGCATCTGTCGTTGCATAGCTCTCTGAGTTTTCCTGATCTTCTCCATGTTTATTTTAGTGAATGCCCAGATTTGGGCTCCATATGTAAGCACAGGTAGGATACAGGAATTGAACACTTTGGTTCGCAGTCTTTGAGGTATATTTTTACAGTATTGTGCGAATTAATGGAATCACTGTGAATTTTTTTTAATTTTTTTAATATTCACAGTTGCCAACACTACCTACACAGTTGACAGCTGACCAAGCATTGAAAACATAACCTTACTGTGTGTTGGTGTGTTTGAGTGTGTTTTAGGTCATTTCTTACCAAGCTTGTGTTGTTTTGGGGGTTGTTGTACTATTTTGTGTTGTTTTTGGTTTTGTTCCAACATGGATATTACGCCTAGGAAGCGTGAAAAGATTGTCACGTTAAGTGAACACACTAGTATGTCACAAAGAGAGATTGCTAGAACGTGTGGAGTGAGTCAGGGGGTAGTAAGCAAAATTTTGAAGCGTAAACGAGAATTGGGATCAGTGGATGTGAAAAGGTTAGGAAAATGTGGAAGAAAGAGAAAAACAACACCAGCATATGATAGGTTTTTACTTCAAAAGAGCAAATTGGACCCAAGAAAATCAAGCCAAGACCTACAACAAGATCTAGCAGCATCAGCTATAGTGATTCATGACTCAACTGTTCGTAGAAGACTTTTGCTGAATGGTAGAAGGGCAATTCGTCCACAGAAAAAACAGCTTCTAACTGAACGAATGAAGAAACCAAGGCTACTGTGGGCCAAAAAATACTCTAATTGGACTGTAGGCGACTGGAAAAAAGTTCTATTTACAGATGAAACCCAATTTATAGTTCAGGGACAGCGGTCGAAATTCGTCAGGAAGTCTGACAATGAAAAGCTTACACCATCTCATATTGATCAAACCGTAAAACATCCAGTCAAGAAAATGTTTTGGGGATGTTTTTCATACATGGCGGTTGATCTTTGGTGCCAATTGAAGCATGAGGAACAGCCAAAAATACAAATCCATGTTGAAAAGTATTTGGACAAACAACTCCAAAAATGTCAACCCCAAGGAGGAGCGATTCTTCAACAGGACTCTGCTCCCTGTCATAAAACAAAGGAAATGATGGCATTTTTCAAAAATAAGAAGATTAGTGTTTTAGATTGGCCCGGTAATTCGCCCGACCTCAACCCCATTGAAAATTTATGGGCCATTTGCAAAGCTAGACTGCGAAAAATCGACTGTACCACTAAAACAAAAATGATAGAAGCGGCCATTCAGGTTTGGTATCGAGATGAAAGGATATCTGACAACTGCCAGAAACTCATAGAATCTATGCCAAAACGGGTAAAAGCAGTAATTGCTGCGAAAGGGGGACATATTTCCTACTGAATGATGTAAGTTTACCTTTATAGTTTTGTCAAAATATAATTTTTTACTAAATAAACTGTTTTTTCATTAAAACAGCCTATGATTCCATTAATTCGCACAATACTATATTTTTAAGTGCATATGAGAGTCTTCCGAACGCTGCCCATTCCATTTTTACACGTCTGCTTATTTCGGTAGTCTGATTTTCTTTGCTTACCTTGACATTTTGACGCAGATATGTATATTCATCTATGTGTTCTATCTCTGTCCCTTCGATGTTTATGATAGGTTTGTCATCTTTGTTTGATATTAGTTTCGTTTTGCTGAAATTAATTTTTAGTCCTTTTTTTAGGGATTCTGTGTGTAGCTCCTCAATCATCGTATTCAGTGCATTCCACGTATCGGCTATTAGTACTACATCATCTACGTATCTAAGATGGTTCAAGTATCTTCGGTTAATAGGGATTCCCCTATTTTCCCAGTCTATTGACTTAAAGATATCTTCTAGCGCAACTGTAAATAATTTTGGAGATATTGTGTCTCCTTGTATTACTCCTCGGTTGATTTTTACTGGTTTTGTTTCGATTCCATTACCCAACGTCACTATCATTTAAGCTTGTTCGTAAATATAGTGCGTTTTTTTGATTAGGTATTGCACACTATACGGAGCGCTAAAATCGGCAACGTTGCAAATGTTCGTTCTCCGACCCGAAAATCTACACTGACAGAAAATCATTTATTTTAGCTTTAGTTTAGTAACTCACAACAACGTTAGGGATGTACTTCTCTGTCGTCCGATCTCATGTTTCATTACGTAAAGCCGATTTTAATAGTAGGAAATTCGATAAAAATGAACTGAGCTATAAAAAAAGTCGGTGCATTGTTATCGATTTTTATTAATGTGAAAATTTTTTTGTGGTTGAATTAAAAATAAAAGCGTATTTCTTTAAAAAGATAAAATAAAAAATATACTCTTATTGAAAATTAAAATATTATTCCTAATAAAATAAAAAATAATTCTTTATGACCTACAGAAATGGTTCAAATAGTTGACCTTCTACGGCTGAACAGTACCCCAATCTGTCATAAAAACTTCAAACGAACAGATGAAAGAGTTTCTGCTGTAACAGATTTGGAGGCTTCTCTTATTCGATTTTTTAATTCATCCAAATTTTGGGCTCTAGCCTCAGGATGAGCGTAGATAATGCTTTTTAAATGTCCCCAAAAAAAGAAGTCCATGGGTGTAAGATCTGGAGATCGCGCAGGCCACTTAATATCGCCTGTTCCACTGATAACTCGATTCGGGAAAGTATTGTTTAAATACTCCCTAATAATTCGAGCGTTGTGAACTGAACAGCCGTCTTGATGAAACCAAACATTCTCCAGATTTACATCAGGAAGATTGAGAATAGCGGGAAGAACATGATTCTGTAACAAATCGAGGTATACTCTACTATTCAAGTTGCCCTCAATAAAAAATGGACCTATTATGTGGTCTCCTAAAATGCCAGTCCAGACGTTAACTTTTTGAGGACGTTGAGTTCGGTAAACAACACTTTTGTGCTGGTTTTCCCGCGCACAATACCTCGTAATGGAAGGATTGTGTCTCCCTACTAACGCCACAGAAGATTCATCAGTGAATAAAATGTTTTTAATAAAATTTGGTTCACTATTAGCCTTCGTTATTAGAGTTTCACAAAACTCCATTCTTCGAAAGTAATCGTCTGGATAAAGCTGCTGCGTTTTCGAATATTTAAAATTCTTGTAACCATGCTTTTAACATACTTTCGTTACAGTAACATTGCTAACATCTAACTCTCTAGCAACGCTTCTACTTGAACGTGTTGAATCAACCTCGATTGTTGCACAAATTTGTGTATCCCGGTATTCTCTTTCCTCAACTTTTTCTGGTAACACTTCTCGAGCGTGACATTTTCTGCAATTTTTGAGGCAATAACAACTCTCAAAATTTTTAACAATATTATAAATTGACTGTACACAAGGAACTGGTCTTCCCTCAAAAAACACAGAAAATAAATCTACACACTGTTGCGCAGAATTGCCACTATAAAACCATTTTATTATTTGAGCTTTTTTCGCGGCCATATAAACAGACATGTTTACAAAAATAAATTAAAACTCTACGCTGTTATACCTTTAAACAACCACGGTATAATGACAATATGACAAGTTTGCCGACGGGCGACGTGCAATAACGAGTCAACGAAGCAGATATGTAGTGCAAGTCGACGACGCGCAGTGTTGCCATTTATAGAGTGTATACCTAATCCAAAACTTAACGCACTGTATTATGTATTAGTATTCTGTACCTGGAGTCGATCCGGTTGTTGACTAATGCTTCTGTTATTGTCCACAGTTCTAAGCTATCAAAAGCTTTTTCATAATCTATAAAAGCCAGACATAATGGAAGATTGTATTCGTTAGAGTTTTCTATTAGCATTTTTAAATTGTAGAGATGGTCACAGGTGCTGTACCCGTTGAGTACTCGTTGAGTGAATATAAACTTTATTTAAAATTGATTTTGCGCTCGAAACTGACATTCAAAATCGACGGACGCTTCAAGCGTTGTTTCTGAGAAAACGGTTCATTTTATACAAAAAAATGCTAATAAACATTTTTGTTCAAAATTATCTAATCTACATTCTTTATTTGAAACAGTTTTCTCTACGACGTACAATTTGGTAAATCTATTTTTCAGTTTTTTTCTCCTTACGATGAGGCATTTTAGGGGGAAGGCGGGGGTAAAAGTGGTAAACATTTTTGCATCGTTTTTATCGTCCCAAAATTGACATTCTTAGCAAAATTCAGCTTGCTCGTATAATTTTTAGAGGCCAAATATCTGACGACTGGGCTATATGTGGGATTTAGTTACAAAACATTCGGTAATTGCTATAGATCATACCAAGCAAGATTAACAAAAAAATATCCAATAGCGTCTTTAAAAGTGTATAAACAATAAATAGGAGTATAATTAGAATGTGTTGATATTTCTAACAACTTTAATTCATAAATTAGATTTTAATATATAGATATGATGAACTAGAGGGGTTCAAAAAATGTGATTAAACCATATTTATTAGAATTATTGACTATTCATAATTTTTTTCAGGGCAAATCAAAACGTGATAAATCCCTCCAAGAATTTGCACAACATCTACTTGATTACTACCTCCCGTTAAAGAGGAAATGGTTAGTACTCTTCCCAGAGGGTGGATTTTTAAGAAAAAGGAAAGCCGTTTCCCAAAGGTATTGTGAAAAAATGAACTTACCAAGATTTGAGAATGTCACTTTGCCGAGAGTTGGTGCCATGCAGGTTATAATGGACACTTTTAGTAAAAAATCGGCAATGAATAACAATTCTAATTCTGTAAATAGTAAGTATTTATTAAATTGGTTTGTGTGTTTTGAGTTAAATTAGTAGTCTTTTGATTTAAAACTTTTTGGCTTTGAATATTTTGTAAATTGCAGAGATTATGGAATGTTATAGTTCAAGCAAAATTAATCAATGTGACTGCTCAAAAAAACATTCTTTTATTGAACTCTACATAACCTCACACACGGAACTTTCAAGTTTCATAAAAAATTATACCTATATAATCAAAGATAGTGAAACGTGATACCTACGTTACCAAATAGAAACAATATGAATGTAAAACAAATAATGTTATAATACAATTTATTATATTAATTATATTGCATTATTGAAAATTTAGCAAACATTTATAGAAGCAGTATTTATCAGAATATTCACTGACCACCAGTAAAGTGTTTATTGGCGATGTCAAACGAAAGAGGCGGCACGGTGCGGTAAAATTTTGAACTAGTGCACGTAGGATAACAAAACATTTTGAATTTAGTTATACACACATAACATAGTTATAAACATTTTAAATATTAATAAATAAAGCACAATAAGGTAACAAAATGTTAATAAAAAGTATATATAAACAGTATTGTTCTGCACCGCAATGCAGTAATTATCGATCGGAATGAATAAGTATGCACTTTTTTCCTCGTGACAAAAATCTATTGGATCTAAAAAGACCGTTGGGCACAGGAATTAAAATTTGGGAAATCGATATTAAGTGATATTATGATGGTGTGTTCACATTTTTTATAAACAGATTTTTTTTCAAGTAAATTTGCTGAACATAATTGCAACATTTATTATATAATGTCCCTACATTATTTAACCACATATATACACTAACATATATCTTAATTAAAATTTCTCTTCCAGCTGTTGCAGGGAAAAAGAAACTTTTAAAGAAAGGTGTTGTTCCTTCTCAATGCCTTCTTAAAGGAAAACACGAAAGAAAAATCAATGAGGAACTGGTGAATGCTAGACTAATGCGTAATACAACACATGCACATTCCTCCCTGGAGGACTTTACAAGTGCATTTTGACACCCACTCATCTCTTAACACATCCAGAGTGATTTCTTGTGGGGGCACCATTTAAATTAGTCGTTTGCAGATACAAATCGACTAATTTGTTATTATGTTAGCCACACAACACAACGTGGCCATCCTTTAACAAGGCCTCGCCTTCTTTTAAAGGTCTTTTTGTGTCTGCTATATATTTCAAAATATAGGGCAGCCTAAGTTTAATTTCTTTATTTGCCATTGCGTTAACAAAAAAATCAATGGAAGATAATAAATACTGATCATTTTTGACACAACAATCATTCACCTACAAAGATTGTGGTAGCTCTGTTTTGTTTTCCTACTTGCGTGATCAGCTGATCATCTGTCAAAGCGCCCCCTATAGTTCTTTGACATCGCCAATAGTGCTTGTAGAACCCATATCCGGTTTGTTATTCTATTTCTTATTAAGCAAGATCACCAATTAATATTAATGCTATTATATATCTTTTAGTTTGGATCTAATAATAGGTATTGCTCATTATTAAAGAATTATCTGTTTATTATACTTTCATAAAAACATTTTTTGATAACCAGTAAAGTAGAATTTAAATTTGAATACAAACAAGTTATAACAATTCGCCCTTCTCAATTTATAAATTTTATACGGAAATTTGTAACTTAGTGTGCTAGAAATCAATTTGTAATCTAGAATCTTGTACTTTTTAGATGACAAGTCGGAGACCCCTATAATTGAATGGTTCCTCGACATAACGATAGCGTACCCGAAAGGTTGGCCCATAGACTTAAGCCATATCGTCTTTGGAAATCGCGATCCTTGCGAAACAATCATGTTCTACCGCCTCTACCCACAGAAGGATGTTCCTCAAGACACCGAAACTCTTACCACTTGGCTCTTCGATCGTTGGGTGGAGAAAGAAAAAATGTTAGAAAACTATTATCGGACTGGTACCTTTACGTGCGAATTTAGTAAAAAAAGTATCGGTCCTAAACGATTGGTGCAGCAAGATTACCTTAGGTTCGCGATAGTGCACATATTTTTTATTGCCTCAACATATCTGCACACAATGATGCTCGTGACAGTATACAATTATTGTAATTATTTAGTTTATTAGCACTCCGTCCTGGCATATTTGGTGTGTCTGGTGAGGTACTATTTGTAAAGAATCAGCTTAAAGGATCTACTGGAAGTGGAGCGTCATAAAACGTTTATCTTTATTGTTTAAGTCGGAAAATTAATTTTTGTTCGTTATTAAAAGTAAACGTAAACAAATGTAAATTACATATTATATAAGTCATAAAGTATAAAAAAAGTGATAGGTGGTAAAAGTGTCAATTACGCACATTCGACTCTCTGGTACGCGTAAACTAGCAAAACGGTAAAGTATAGTACAACCTAAAAATGATTTCGCAACATCACATGTAAAACCATATTTGATTCATGAATTATCAATCTTTTGCTATTGACAGTCCTGATTCTAGAGTGTCCTATAGATCGTTGGCATTTTCTGCATGCATCCACTGCCATTGTTCCGATAACATATTGTATATTGTTAACATGGCACACTCTTTTGTATACAGATAACTGTTTTTTATCTGGATAGTAATTATGCTACATAAAGCGTCTTTATAAAGTAATCTCATAAGAAGAAGTCCAGGGGAGTTAAATCGGGGTATATTGGTGGCCATTCGATAAAATCTCTTCGTTCATTCTATTGCATAGGAAACAAGATCATTAAGATATCCTTAGATAGCCTTAAGTTTATGCTATAATGCGAAGGTTGTTTCATTTTCGATTATATTTGTCCCAACTGTATCAACTGTATCCTCTAATAATTCGAGATGTGCTTCTCCGTTTAAATTTTGTTGCAAAAAGAATCGCCGAGCGATAATAAATTCCTGCCGTTATGTTTAATTTCAATGGCTATTGGGTACGTGTTTTGTGGAAAACTATTTTTATTAGCCCAACGACAATTGTGTCGATTTGCAGTACAATTTAGAAAAAAGAACATTCATCTGAAACACAAATATTAAATAGAAAGTTTTTATTACTATTTTTTTCTCAGTCACAATCTCACAAAACTGTAGTCGTTGTTCTGAATGATGTTCATTTAGTTTCTGTAGCAAATGTATCTTGTAGGGAAGAAATTGAAATGAAAACCAGATTATTGAATTTTTTTATTACTTGAAATAGTTTGAAAATTAATATAACCTACAATTTCTACTACTGCTGCTTCAGTTCTAACACGTTTTTCACACTCCCTTTATCAGCTACTGATCCTGTTTCATGAATTTTTTTAACTAGTTTTAATATATGTGAGTAGTGAAGTTGATTAAATAATTTCGCTGTTCTTGCACACTTTTCAGTTTAAAAAAATATGGAATTTCAACACGTTCTGTGATAGAATACACCATTTCGAAGGAATTTAAAAAATACTTATTTAATATCGCTCAAACAGCTCAAACAAGTAAACTTTTTGCAAATTTCTTTTAATATAATTTTTTAAGCGAAGAACAAATTTTATTTGAGGGGGAGTTTACTGTATAAACTAATTCTTTAAAAAGCACTTTACCAGAATGATTGTTAGGTATATAATTTATATTTATATTTTATTCTTCAATAAAAGAGATTTTAAGGTTGTTACAAATAATTGTTAATATTTAAGATATTTTGAAAATATCGTGCGTAATTAACATCATTTAAAGAAAACGAAGAAAATTCACACTTAAAATCTGTAAAATAATCTTTATAATATGTGTACCAGTTATTCTGGTAGTCAGAAGCAATTACCTTGAGTTCACCATTATGTGTTTGCTAAAAGGAATCCTTTTATTTAATTATTCAAAGTTTTTTGTTTAATATTATGGTATTCTCTTAATGATGAATCTGTTTTATAACATGTCACTTGCATCTTTATTTTACATTAATATTTTCGTAAATAGGATATTCTATTAAAGTAGTAACATTGAGACTGATTGTGCCTTTTGTCTTTGTGGACAGTAAGTAGTTTCTCGAAGAATAATTACTTGCGAGTAAAATTTCCAAATTTAAGTATAGGATAAACTTGTGATATAGATTTTGATTGTTTTATTTGAAGTATCCTGAAGACAACCTTAAAGTCTCCAAAGTTTGCTGTACTTTTATATAAAGGATGTTTAAAAACTTCCCCCTAGCAAAAGAATAATAGAAAATCTGTAGATGACAATGTTGGCATGATTTGTCTTAGCTAAAAATAAAAGAATTGAATTTCAATTTCAATTGAATTCTCAAAAATGACCGACTAACTTCTTCTTAAATTGACGTTTTGACCAACGGGAACAGTCGTCAGTTGTAAAAATATGTTTAAGTCCTAGGAAGCCATACCGGGAGATAGATAGATTTAGAGAGGTGTCCTTATATCCTATTCCACTACGACATTTTCAGATCTATTGTGGGCATCTAGTCCTAGATAACACTCTCTAGCCTGACCCTTTTCAAAAAGTCTAATAGCTTTGAAACTGTACCTTCCATTTAACTATTTGCCGGTGGACTTTCTTCTCCTAATGCAAAGAACATTTGCCAGACTATCAAACTGACATAGAATATGCTCTGCTGTTTCTTCTTCAAGGTGAGAAAATCTGCACAGGTCATCATCTGATAATCCCATCAGTTTCAAGTGCCTATTCAGTTTACCGTGCCCTGTTAAAAGACCTACTATGGCTTTGACTGTTTTCCTCTCTTTGCTTATTAGGTCTGCCATAAATTTTGGCGAATGTTCTGTAATGAACTGTTTTACTTGTCCTCCACAATTCCAGAGATTTGTGGTCCACCCACTTCCTTGTAGCCATTCTTGTTACTGCCTTTGCAGCGCCGCAGAAGGGTTCCGGTCCAATGAATGGCATTGATGAGCTTTGTTTGACCATTTCACCTACTTTTTCATTGCCCTGATGACCCTCGTGCCCCGGTACCCAGGCTACCGTAACCTTGCTACCGTCTCCTAGTTTATTTAGGGCACACGCACAATCCCAGACTAGGTTAGAATTGACATCTACAGAATTGAGTGCCTTAAGCGCTGCCTGACTATCTGTGAAGACGGCAACTGAACGGAACGTTCTTACCTGCTTTTCTATTTCTTCCACGCAGTGATGGATTGCCGTTGTTCCCGCCTGGAAAACTGCCACATCTTTAGATAGACTTACCGGGAAATGTATCCCTTGATTTGTCGCTACAATGCCGGCTCCCACATCTTCCGATTTTTTTGAAACCATACGTGTACCAGGTAGCAGAAGCTTGTACGAGTACACTTTCATTCCAGCCTTCCCTGCCTGGTATCTTAATTGCGAACTTATTGTTAAAGCTATATAGGTCGCAACATCAGAAATTCCATTCCGGGCAATCACGTGTATGTTTCAGTACTTTCCACCCTTCACATTTATTATGTTATTCATTAATTATTTGAAAAATGCCAAAATGCCACAAGGGGCCAATTGCAAACTAATTCTTAAAAACAGAAATTGAAGTTATTTTAGCGAAAACTATAAACAAAAGTATAGTGTCCATTACATATCCAAATAATTACAAAATGTTATTAACATCTTAAGATTGAATGTATACGAGTAAATAAATGTTCAGAAAGATAAAAAGCATCTTATTTACGCGACATCTAGCTCCTTTAGAAAGACTTTTGAAATCGACCTTCTGGTCTACAGAATTTTTTCCATTTTTCGTGCTAGGAAAGATTATAAGCACCCTTTATATGACGGACTGGCAAAGTACCAACTGTTTAATTTATCTTAATAATTTTTAACTTAAGTATTCAAATACAATCATTTGCTACTCTATAAGACTAATTTTGTTTTAAAAAGTGCAAAATATACGTAACTATTGGTGTATTTAAGCAATATTTATAACACTAACTTCCAGTTATATCCATTAAGGAATATCAATCTCGCCAAACATTCAAATATGCTAAATATGTAAAAAACTGAAAAAGGACTGATATTTTTTTAAAGTGGGTTGATAACAGTGTGATTTATAGCATAGTGTAAAAACTAAAATACCTCTGTTTACATCAGAAGGTTTTATTTGTATGATTCAATGATCAGTAGCACGTTCATATCTTTAAATTGTTATTTTCTTAATAATTTTGTTGTTCTATAAAATCTATTATACGAGCCATAACGAGTATATGTTTGGACTATATAAGAATTGTTAAACACATTATATTAGCATTTATTGATTGACGCATCGATTGGCTCAGCTTTGAGGTAATGTAGACTCGTTTGTCGTATGCCATGACAGCAAACGGTGTGATCCGTCTTATGCCTTTTCTCCGCTGCGTGAGTGTACAGTGAGTGCCTCTCTATTTGATGAGAGGCCACTTTCATTGCTTGTATATACAATTATTGTTTTCTTATATTATGTCTAATATTAGTGTTTGTAAAAGAACATTATGACGGATGTTTTGCATCTTTCTAACATCCCGTAACTGCCACAATATTTTGTAAACTGCATTTTTTGAATATCTAACAAATATTCAGATTTTATAAATTAAATCAAAGGTCCACCATCTATTAATCTGCTAATAATTGTATAGTCCACTTCAAAGACAACCCTACCGCCAGTTGAAATTCTGTACCTTTCAAAGATAAGCAATATGTAATTCCGTATTATTCATTGTAAATTATTTAAATGTGACATATATAAAATACCGGTCCTAGAGATTTTGCCGCCCTGGGCAAGATCGGCAACCCCCTCCCCTTCACTTGGTAGACCCTTGACTTCTATTGAAATGGATATCCGTTTTTTCCAACAAACTGACAGCTTGTGACACTCCCGTATCATACTACCACAGAGCAAAGAAAAGTAAAATCACATACTTGATTTGCTAAACAGTTTGCTTCATGAGCAACCATTTTATCTGTGTTTGGATTTTCTATGATTTCTACAGGTGCTTCTAGATTTCTTCTGGTATCTGCTGAGAGTAATTGCATCAATTTAACTTTCCCATCTGGTCTGGGACAAAGGTTTCAATGTTAGGCTAGAAATATGATTTCTCAGGATAGCCCAACGATGAGTAGTATGCTGAGAAAAAGTTGTAAATATTTATCACTAATGAAAAGAAAGAAACTGCAAACTGTGACGCTTTAGCAGCATTGTTTACGACTAAGTAAATGGCTAGAACATGGGACAAAAATGCTCTAGGATTCATTTGCAAAATTGTGTTTTGGACTCCCACGTTCTTCCCTTTCATGTTTGCTCCATTATTATCCCTTGTCCTCTTATATCTTCCAAATCTCAGTTCATTCAGTTTCTGCAAAATAACTTCTGTGAGTCCCAATCCAGTGGTTTCCAGTTCAAGCATAAATTCTAGAAAATGTTCTACAATTTTAACACTTTATGATCAGGAACCTAAATCGACAAAACGTACAACAATAGTTATCTGTTCTACCCCAAAAATATCAGGTGTACAATCTAAAATTATGCTGCAATACTTGGCTGATTTCAGAGTTTAAAATTTTTTTTTTGATTTGGTCATGGAGGAGCTGAATAATTTTGTTTTGAATACGTTTTGCCCGATTCTAGTCTAATTACAAGTTTTACCCACTACCCAC